TCACCACCTCAGGGTTTACTTCCTGTGCCATTGCTGTCCCTGGTGCCTGTTGCCTGTATTTCTCAGATCGTGCCAAGAGAGACTTTTATATGGTTTCTTTTGTGTCATGAATGAGTGGGTAGGCTCAGGTTAGGAATGAGATTGTAGAGCAGGCCTTGGGGAGGAGGTTACACTACCACATTTTAGTGCTATGTCTACTTCTAGCATTCTGAAACCTGGAGTGATAGGTCCAGTCAATACTGAGATCCCATGAGATATAACTGGGGTCAGGTTTCCTCCGTTGAGTGTTTCTTACATGCATGTTATATTTCCTGATCACTTCCTCTCCTGCAAGGTGGTTCCTCTTGTTGCCTCACAAGTGTGATGATCTGCGATATCTGTACAGTTTTTGGGAGAGGAATGACCATTTTTTGGCCCTTTCCTGAAGAGCTAGATGACAGTTTTTCTCCCTGCAGTCCAGGTCCTGATAAGTGTTTACATAAACACATGGTGTCATTTGCATGGATACTGGACTACTCATATACTTTATATTAAGACCATATACAATCTATACTAAAATGTAGGGTTATTCAGTATGTACCACAGGGCAAGGTCACTAGATTGCAGAGACCAAGGAGGACTCTTGAAATGTATGAAGAAAAGCTAACATAGCAGAGAGAGTCAGCCTTTACAAGTAACATTTAAGTCCTTAAAGATCAGTGCCCTGTAAATGTGTTTGTCATTACATTTTTGCAGACATACACGGCAAGAAGACACATTTTACAATAGTTTTAAGGCTTTTTTCGGCATTTCATTAATGCACTCTGAAAATGTGTGTCATTGTGTAAAATATCATTAGATTATAGTTCTCTGTCTTTTGTAGGTAGCTATTTTGAAAGTACTGCCAGAAACACACAGCACTCCCACAAATTGCCTTTTTTAAACTAAAGAACAGCTTTACAGATTCCCTTGACACCTATTAAGTATGAGCTAATACTGCCTCCATGCCACCTACACACCATCTCAGCATCAATTCCATAGTTTTGAATGTCTGTACTTCTACATCCTACACCTTTTCTGTAAAATTAAAGAAAAAAAAAAGAAAGAAAAGAAAAGAAAAGAAAGAGAAAGAACAGTTCCCTCCCATTCTTTCTCCTTCCTTCCAGGAAAAAAAAAAAAAAAAAAAAAAAAAAAAAAAAAAAAAAAAAAAAAAAAAAAAAAAAAAAAAAAAAAAAAAAAAAAAAAAGGACTCCTGTAGCAGTAATTGAAGCTTTGGTAGTCATCAATGACAATTTTACTTAATCTTTAAAAAATGTGTCATTTTGAAAAATAACATTTAAAACCCTAATGCTTTTCTAATTAAAATAACTATGACTGTAATTCACAGATGTTTTACTTTTACAGGAGTCTGAATGACATTAAAATTTCAGGCTCAGATGAGAGCACTCTATAGTCCAGAAAGTATTGAAAAGTGAGTGTTTTAGTGGAAGAATATTTGAACCTTTTCTCCCTAAGCAAGCAGAAAACATTTTGTGATTAGAGAAGAAATCAGAATGAAGACAGGTGGCAGTCTCAAAAACTGTTTTGTATGTGAGATTCCAATATTTTTCAGCATTATTGCTTTCACTGAACACCAGAACTGTACAGAGGGCAGTGAGACTAGCTTGTTATCAGTCAGCTTTAGAGAGCATCAAATTTAGCTCAAAGACTAAGCAGCACACATCTCCAGCACTACTAACAATCAAATGTGTTATAGGAGTTTCTGCTATACATGCTTCTGTCTAGAGCTCTGCTCTCTGTAGACCTGACAAATGATGTAAAATCTATAAATAGCTTTTATCTGAATGTAAAAATGGATTTGTATTGACATTTTGTATTTCTTCATTCACTTAAAACTTGTAGCAGGCTCCTACTAATGAAGTTCATAGCCTAAGTGATGCCACAGTAACTCCATTTATGTTCATAGGGTGTAGGATGGAAGAAAAGAGCAGTAATGCTTTGCCTGCCCCTTAGCTAGCTTTCTGACTCTGCAATGCCAGCCACTTGTAGCTAAAATGACCATAAGCTTCAGCAGTTCTCTTTTCTGTGATTTTGTGACTGCACAGTGCAAAATAAATTGCAGCTAAAATTTTAATTGTGTGTCAGTCATGATACTGACTGAGAATAGGGTTGTTAATGTTGCCATGGGCATTGCTAACAATCAGGGCTTTTTTAAGGTTTGAAAATGCAATTTTCATACCCTTTTCTACTATGAGAGTACCCTAATATTACTCTAGTAAGGGGAGGAACAAACACTTGAGTAATGAAGGGTAAAGGGGAGAAACGAGGAAAAAGTGGCTGATTTGGCATAGGCCAGAGACAGAGGTGAAAAAAAAAAAACAAACTCCTATGTGATGTGAAGGGTTTGTGGAAAGGAAAAATGGAGTATCAACATAAAATGTAATCAGACTAGAGGAATATAATTTTATGAAGTATTTGTATCCAGGTGCTTTGGTTGTCTGAGAGCTGATCAGATAAAACAGTATTTATAATAACCAAATGATAATTTAATTACAGTTAACCATATGAATAATAATTCAGTTATTCTTACAGGAGAATTCTAGATTTAAGCAAGAAGATGAAGACTTTAGTAGCCAAAGCTAGTAAGAAGGCAAGGTCAATATTTGGTTTATCAAGATGGATGGAAGTTGTTTGATGAGCAGTTATTACACAAATCAAAGGGTTTATTGACAGTATATTGACAGCAATGGGAAGAGTCAAGGTGTCCTGGAAGAAAGTTGAAGTCACAAAAGTAGAATACTTTTGGGGAAGAAAACATGAAAAGTTTGCTTGTTCATGATGCAAGACTAGATGTGTGAAAGAGAAGCAAATTTAAAGTGAAGAAAAAAGACCACTTCTTTGAGTTTTTTGATTAAATAAAGGGACAAAGGGAAAGATTCCCAAGGAAATTTAACATGACATGGGAAAGAAGCAGATTCCAGAGCAGATGAAAGAGAAGGTCAGAGTGCTAAGATAACCAGGCATATAGAGAGTTTTGAAAGCACAGGGAAAAAAAGTAAAAATTTCTGTTGGAAGTCATTGGTCAAGAAAATGAGGATGACAGTATGAGAGCACATTTGAATCTCCTTAAAATTGCCTCAGTTAAAAGTCAAAAATTGGAAGGCGTGACTCCAGATAATCTACTGAATAAATATAAAGACATCATTTTACTGGGGTGCCTACCATGGTAGCTACACAGAAGCAGGATCTAGGAAAATTAATATTGTTCGGGAATAATAACTTTAATTTACAAGCACAAAGATTATTCCAGAATAGCTGGTCTGAACAGAGAAGTGACTCTGGGATACCTAAGTTAAACCAGTATGTATCCCAGCCCATAGAAGGGTGGTTGGAACTAGATGATTTTTAAGGTCTCCTCCAACCCAGACCATTCCATGATTCTATAATTTTTGTAGCTGCACATTTTTCTAAAATAGCTGTTCCAAGGCATTTTCCACCATGCAAAGGAAGCCTGTTCCCTATTTATGAGTTTATATAATGGCAGGACAAGTAAAATGTGGTTTTTATCTCCTTGCCTCCACACACTTTGCTATAATTCAAAAGGGACTATTTTATTGGGAAAAGAGATGCTAACAGAAAAAAAAAATTGAGAAATCATTCCAGTTTTTCCATTTGAGTGCATCTGATTTTAACTAAAAGACTAGCAGTCGCACCATCATTGTCTGTCAGCTCAAACTGCAAAATTACAGTTTTTTTAAACTTTTGATTCAAAATAGTTTCTCTCTAGAGTAGAGAGAGGGGAAGCCAAGGGACAGAAATGTGCCCAAATAATTTCTGATTTTTTTTAATGGAGTTTAGACATGATATAAATGTCCTGGCTTTTTGTAGTTCAACACTATCATGATATACGTGTGACAGTGTTTGGATTAAAAACAATTAGTTGAAAAGCTGTGCAAATAACTCTGCTGATACCTGTTTCCCAGCTCTAAACCAAAAAACCACAATGGAGTGGTTCAGTGAGGTGAAGAAAAGGAAAGTTGGAATGAATTTCTTCAATTTCAACCAGATTCATAATAATTAATCAATATGCCTATTAGCCGTACAAAAGTAATAGTTTTGCAGAAACTAGAATCTTCACTGGGTAGCACAGTTATCTGTTGTTGGTCCTTTTATTTCTAAGAATGGGAGGAAAGTTTCTTGTACAGAATTTCTGAGAAGGAAATGGTTTTGTTGTTTATCTCTTTTTTTTTTTTTTTCCCCAGTTATCTACTGGTTTTAGAGTGTCTAGGTTGTAGGTGGTTTGGATTTATTAAAGTCTATTAGAAAGGAATGCTTTTGAAGATGATACAGAAAAGAATTTTAAAGTATTGTTTCAGCGTGTTCAGAAGGTATCAAAGAAGGGTGTTTTCTTTTGATCTAACTAGCTAAACTTGGCTGTAAGAGGGCAAGATCATCTAATGATTGTTCTTTCAAGGAGTAGATGAATTAAACCAAGCTACTACATAACCCCAGAATATGATCATACACTCAATCAATACTTAGGAGATTATTTTTCACAAAGGAATGCTTCTGACTGCTTAGCCTTGATATTATAAGGAGACCCACAGCACAGCTTCAAGCAGGCAAGGCTAGGAACTAGGATTAGTAGTTTTACTGGACATTAGGAATCATTGTCATTAATGACAGTGAGTTTCTACCATCCTTCAGTTAAATTCCTCCTGTTCCCCAAATGGCAGCTATCTGTTACCATTTCCTGCTCCATGTGGGTTTATGTCTTGTCACCTTTATTTTGTATTATGTTGTCTAGCACATTAGCATAATTAGATTCCAAATGCTTTATTTTCCCCCAGCCTGTATTTAACTTAAAGATTGTAGTATTTGTTCTGGATGCTTTTGGAACTGAAGTGAAACTATATGTCTGACAGTTTGCTCATCCATTCCGAATAATACTCTTTTGTTCAACCAAGTGATACTGCCTTTTTTTGTTGATGATGATGATTTCCCTGCTGTTTGTATTCTAGATAGGAGTCCGAAAAGTTTTTCTTAAGTACTGGCAAGCTGACCATCTAAATGATTTGTGCCTTCAACTTCAGAAGAAAATTATAACCTGCCAAAAAGGTAACAATTACAGAACAAGTATTTCTGAGGTGTCACTTTGTACACTGAGCAGAATATTGTATAACAAAATGATTTTCTCCCCCTTGAACAGCTTCTGTATTTTATACTTTTCTCTACATACATATTTCCAGCTAACTACTTACACAGATTTTTTGAGATGATATTAACATTGGTAATGCTTGCACTTTCTGTCTGTCAAACATAGTTTTATGACAAACTGTTGACTGTAATTTAAACTTAGAGGTTCTTGAATATTTTCTGTTTAAAGTATGCTCAGTTCTTTTTCAAGGCATTAATATCACCTTTAAATTCTCATTGCAAATCAACTATTGTAATGCTGACAGGAAATTGCAATGTTTTCAAATGTATTGAGAGTAAATACAAAGCTAATAATCTAGTATGTTTAATTGTCTTTATTTTTCCTCTTTTCTTGCAGCTTTGATATTTGACTGCTAGGGTTTTTTATGTTTAGGTATTTTTCCCCCTTTTATGCCTGCATTTTCACTAAGGCCACACTGACATTTTTGACATATTTTTAAAAGGAGGTACTATCGACTGCCTCCTGATTTCCACTTACTTATGTTCCATTTCCTATCAAAATCTCAAATAACTGCTGAAAATGTGAATATTGCTTTGTTTGAAGAAGCTTCCTTCACACAATTTGTTATTGATCTAATTGGTTGATCTGTGCAACAGTTCCCATTTTCACCTATTTAAAGGAAATTAAAAAGACAGTCTTTTCTTGTGGGAGGAGGGGGGGATGTTTGTCAGTTATATAATATTGCAGACTTAACAAATATAAACCCCTTTCATTTTAGCTCTCTTTTCTTCACTGTGAGCATGTAGCAAAAAAGAGCAAACAAAGAGAAAACCTGAGGGAAGTAAAATAAAAATAGTTCAGAAACGAATGTGAAGAATGACAGGTAACAGAGGCCACAGTTCAGCTGAGTTTATAACTTGGGCCCGATTTTTTTATGCAAATTACCCTGTTGTATTTGTACATTTGGAAAAGCAGTAATGGTTTGTCCTCTTTCCCTTCTCATGCTGACTTATCAAAGAAAGGACACCTTTCGGTGTCAAATTTGCAAGCAGAGTGCTTCAATATAACCCTACACCAGAATTTAAAACATCTTCAGATATGTTGATGTTTTTCAGAGGTAAGAGAACAGACTGCCAAACCCTGCCTGAAGAATGAAGATAATAGGCCTTTTTTGGCTCCGTACAAAATTTTTTCTCAGTTTTGCTTCTAGCCTTCCCCAGTCAGGGTAACTTGAAAAGTCATTTTCACCAAAATTATGTGTTCAAAGCTTTTTTTCAAAGCTATGGCTCATCTGCATGCTTTTTATGATCTGGGAAACCTGAGAAAATCAGGAACTTGGACGAGTAAGGAGTGGCATTAACTCACGAAATAAGCTGCCCTTTGCAAACAGGTTCCAACTCTTTTTGCTTCAATCTAACTAGTAAAACAAACCAGAAAAGTCTTTTTTGTGAAATTTATCTTACAGAGGCAAAGAAAGGGGTCAAACTAAATTGAAAGTATGTGTAGAAACACTTTTTATTTAAAAATGGATCTGTGAGTTTAGAGACTTCTTTTTTTTTTTCACGGTTATGAGAACTACATATGGTATGTTTTGACCTGAATCACTGTGACAGTTTTGTACCTGTAGGAAACTCATGTGCTGAAGTTCTTCCATCAGAATTTGTGTAAATGAGGAATTAACTTTAATACATTGTATACACAGTAGTTAATACATTTCTCTTATAACCCAGATTCATGGTCTACTTGAATTTTGATTATTCTAATCCTTGTCCTTAGATGAACTCTAAAGAAGTAGATATTTTTCTGCCCTGGGGGTGATAACCTCAATTATTTGAATTTGAATGAGTGAGAATTCATTTAGATCAACATAAATGAGGAGCAAGTTCAGAAGACAATCATAGTACCGAGTACCCATACAGTAGTACATGAAACTGAGCAGTAAAGGTCTAGGAGATTACAATTTCATTTCACGGCAGCTTTTTAGGTTATAAAATTGTGGGGTTTTTCCATGTTGAACTGATGACAAAAATTTTTCAAATGTTCTCATAGAGAAGGCAATGTGGAGAAATGTCTACCTTTTCATGAAAAGGAATGTCTGTCTGACAACCCTTCCTGACAAAGCTTTGTTAAATGTTTTTTCAAAACATCTTGATTTTGGTGAAAGGGCATAATTCAGAGTATCTGTACAGTATCTAAATATTAGAACTAGTTCCACTGGTTCTCATTTTACTAGGCCATTTTAGCAGGCTATTCCAAACTACTCATTCATGTCTGATAACCATTCTATCAGAGGATTGATCTCTCTCTTTCTTTATCCTAACCAACCTTGGTAGTAAAAACACACCCAAACACACAGAGTCTTGTTACTTCAAAATAGAGCCTTTCTTCCGAAGTCACACAGTCAAATACCTTCTCTGTTCTGCAGCAGATAGGTTTAAAGAGAATAATTTAGGAAGATTTCTTTTTATTATTAAGCTCTTTTGAAATTTTTTTATTTGTGAGTAGTGAACTTCTGTAATATTCTATGCATATATTCATTCTTTCACAACAGCAACATTTGGATTCAGAATCAGTAACATGTATATCCAGTGTGAATGCTCTAATAAAATTTTTAGCAAATAACTGTTCTATTAATTTCCTTTTCAGCTCAATTGGATAAGTGCATTACTGTTTCAGGGTTTAAAGAGGTTTATGGAACATACTAAAGGAATTGAAAATGGCATGGATGGTTGTGATTAGGAAAGTCTAAACCTTCACAGCTTTCTACTGTAAATTATTTCAAAGTACCTAAACTTGCATACTTTCAAACCCAGTGCACTTCTTATAGAACCAGTACTGGTATATTAACATTAACCTTTCTTTTAAGCAGGACCCTGAGCATCTCTAAGAAAATCTTATTCTTAGTATCTAAACAAGGATGTAGAAGTTGATAGAAAATACCTTACATTACCCTTTGCTTTAGCTGTTTATTTTATTCAATAACATCTTATATTCATAGAAGAGTAATTGTATCTTTCTCTGTTGACATTTTCCTTTAGATTATTTCAGCTTGACTCTATGTTATTTAATGTTCTTCATTGTTCCCAAATCTCGAACTTAATTACATTGTTCAAAAGGCCTAATGAATTTTAACAAATCTTTTATCTTGCAATCCTCGAATTGGCATTTTCAGTATTTTTCCCCAAACTCAAACAAACATCATAAGTAGGCTATTGCATGCTAACTTCACTTATGAAAACTTTCTGTTAAACAGATTTAGAGGAATCATAATAAGCAATGATGAAGTTTGACCTGGTTTTGATACATGTAAGTTGATGTACTGAAAACCAACAGTATTTAAGGCAAAAGGCAAATAATCCTAGAACAGGTTCTTCCTTATGAGTTACACAGCAGTGGTTCTAGATCTGGAAAATCGAACTTAAAAAAAAAAAAAAAAAACACACAGAAATACAGTGCCTTCATTTATCTTGTGTCTTCCTTCTAAGCCAAAAAATATGCTCTGAGAATACAAATATCACCTGCTTCAGGTGCACTGATTAAAATGGTGCTGAATTCATCATGGCCACACTGGTCCCTATACTTTTCTGATCAGCTGTGTACTTCTGAAAATCCAGGCGACTAGGTGATATTCAGGTTGGGTAGGATTTGTTGTAGCGAGGGTACATACTTAGGAAAGGTGTACAGAAAGCTATTATAGGAGATCCACAAAAATTGTTTTCCAGCATAACGCTGACAAAGAGTGTGAAGAACAGGTCTAATAGATACATGAAGCTGATGCAATGTAGATGAAAATTTTAAACTGAAAAATGCAGACATGATGTGACAGATATATTTGAGAAATTTGCATTAAATTAATCTGATTGTTTTTGCTGAAAGAATATGAGCAATGAAAGGTCTTTAAGGCAAACGAAAAAGTCTTGTGTTGGTTTTGATGGGATTTTAAGTACACTGAAATATTTAAGACATTTTTTTAAAGCTACCAGAAGCAAACTATCATTTAATTGCTAGTGCACTCAATGCAATTCATTTATCCAAGCTTTTATTTTGAAACAAACCTTTGCAATATAAATGTATGCTTTCACAATCTGCAAAATACATCTAAGTTTCAGTTGTAACATAATAACAAATAACATTCACTGAAAGTAAACATTTTGAGTTGTGATAGCTCAAATTTATGAATTTACTGTCACTACTTTGTTTTAAGCACTGGCAGTAGAAAAGAGAAAGAGTTCCATTTTACCGTGTTATTTATATACCGTCATATTTCTTTCAGTCTTTATGTAAGACATTGACTTGACTTGCTTGTATTTACAGTAGAACACACAGTAATATTTAAATTATTCACCAGTTAGTTGTCTTTCATTGGTCCATATTTTCTCCTTCTGCTATGGTAGTTATCAGAGGATTTCTGGCTCGCCAGCGCTTGCTACAGAAGATGAGCATCAAACAGCAAGAGGTCACCTCTATCAGAAGCTTCTTGCAGAACGCTGAGGATATGGGACTGAAAACATACGATGCCTTGGTTATTCAAAATGCTTCTGACATTGCTCGGGAAAATGACCGTCTCCGCAATGAGATGAACGCTGCTTACCACAGGGAAAAGTTAGAGGCTAGAAACAGACCAGAAGAAGGCCACAGGAGGTAAGATGAGAAACACCTGCTGTGAAGACTTAACATGTCCCTTCAGTTTATAAAATTTCTCTGCTTAGAAAACCACATATATGACTGAGGAATTGCAAGAGAATAATTTGCTCAGCCCAATTAAATGTTAGGTCGTTTTGGTTTTTTTCTGTATATCAGGTAATTAAGTCTAGAAACTTCAGGAAACCACTATATCCTATTCAGGGGACACTGAGCTTTAGGGGAACTTGTTCAAGTCTCTGGATTTTTTTACAGAAATATTTTCTAATTCTATGATAAATAGATTATAATTTAACTTTCATCAAACCAAACAAACGAAAGAAAAATTTCTCCAACTTAAAATTCCAACATTGAGAAATTACTGAGATAATGAAAAACAGCTAAGAAGGTGTTAAAATACCATAAAGCCCATCCTAAGAAATCCTGATTACGCATTGAACTAAGCAGATTGATTGTGAGGAGGATCCTTTTATTTAAAAATGGGCAAATGTTTTTTGTTTACATCCACCAGGAGTATCTATTTTACAAGTCCATGTAAATGCTGGAAACCCTTCCTTTAGGAATTGAGTCCCTAATCTCTTTTCTCTCAGACAGCTGAATGGGCAGAGTTAGAATTTGCAGTTAATCGGTATGTGTCAATAGCAAGAATGTGTCTATAACTTGCTGGATATATAAATGTTTATTTTTCCATAGGAACCTAATTTTCAACCAGAACAACTCCCTTTGCTTTCATTGCTTTTGTCAGTGACTTTTATTAAAGTGAAAATGGCAGTGCATCTGCTTAATTAGCTTCAAATATCCCAGTGATTACATATTGGAGGAAATGCCTTTGTAGGAAAGACTGTAATTAAACATTACAGTGAAAACAAATTATCCACTGAGCACCATGCTTTCATCTTTTGCTATTTCATTTACTACATAGGCAGCTGGCTACATCCTGTGTATGAATTTCAGCTCTGCTGGTGATTTGCCACGCAGAAATACAATTTAAAAAGACAAATGCTTGGGAATTTGTTTGTAAAATGACAGTATAGACAGATTTCCATCTAATACATTACTACTCTAAGTGAAAAAGGTTTCAGTGTTTTGATTCTTGGAGGAATAAAATGTTAGAAGAATTTTTGTTAAAAATCAGTTTGTTGAAAGCAGCTGGAACATTATTCTCAATATGTATTCAAAAAAGGAAAAAAAAATAGAGAAAGTAAAATTCCCAAATTGCAATTGAAACAACTAAGCATAATGTCATAATAATAGCAATTATTACTAAAGATGATAATCAGTAATTAAGTTTAAACTGGAATATATATAGATATCTGGGTGGAATTGTTCAAGCAGCCAATGTAGCTAGTTAAAAAGATCATCTAATATTTTAAAGATTTGCATTATCTAAATGGAATTTATAGTTATCTTTTTAGAAAATAATGATAAAGGCTCAGCATTTGCTGCCTCAGTAACTTTCTATTAAAATGGATTTCCCAGAAATTATCATTCAGATTGAAAACCCAGCTTTTGATTGTGTGTAGCAATCAAAGTGTGAACAATTCATTCAGCGAATGTCTGATCAACAGTATGAAACTGCTTAAGCAAGGCTGCATTTGTGTGAAAAGGGGCCTGTGTCCTGATTTATCATGAAACAGGAAATGGGAAAAAGCTAGCAGCTTGATCTGGATTTGTTTGTCAGAAGATTACTACACACATCCCCTCGACACAGCAGGGGAGTTGTGAGATTGTTTACCAAAAAGCTGTTGTTACGTTTGCATGAACAGGTTCATTGTTATTGCTTGAATAATGCATCTGGGCTTCTTTTCTGTGTTTTCAGAGCTGAAGACAAGGGTGGGAAGGTCTCTGAGGACAGCTTTACCGGCTGTCGAACGCCTAAGCACTTTCATTCCAGCTCCGTCCCTGTCCCCATGGCAGTGGACAGCTTGGTACATTCTGCGGCTGGGTCATCCATCAGATCCCCCTCCCTGCACTCTGTTTTCAGCATGGATGATAGCAATAGCCTGCCATCACCAAGGAAACAGCCTCCTCCCAAACCAAAGAGGGACCCCAACACACGACTGAGTGCCTCGTATGAGGCTGTTAGTGCTTGCTTGTCGGCAGCTTCTAAGGAAACGGCTAATGAAGGTTAGGCATAAAGGCGGAGACAGTCGCAAATGTTACTCTGGGTTATTGATTTATTCTTTTCACTTTGATCCTTTTAAACACACTAAAGCGCCTTTGAAAGGTCCTGCTTCCTTGAAATATTTTGGTGGCAGTAAATAAAATTAGCCAATTTGTCATGTGTTCCCAAATCAGCAAATAATACTCATGTGTTCTAATTGCCTAGTTTGTCAACAACCAAAACCGATTTGTAGAACTCTCTCTAGAAACAAATGATCTGTCAACTTGAGCTATTCTACCCCACTGACCATTTTATTTCACCTTCTAAACTGTTAAAATATCTTGCATCACTAAAATAGGATGCTAGAATCTTGAATTTCACTGACTTAAATATTAAACTTTCTTCTACTTTTTCCGTATGTTCACATGAATAACTTATGCAGTCAGGGGGGTTTATGTGCGCTTTTTTTTTTTTTTTTTTTTTTTTTTTTTTTTTTTTTTTTTTTTTTTTTTTTTTTTTTTTTTTTTTTTTTTTTTTTTTTTTTTGCCATAATTTGTTTACAGTATTTTTTATTTTGTTTAGAAGGAAAGTGCTGCAAAAGTCCTAAAGTGTCTTGAGTGCATTATGGTGCACATTGCATGGGTTTTAGTTCAGTTGTTCTGTTCTTCTTTACCCTTGAAGTGAATGAGTAGAAGATGAAGGGAAGGAATGCATTCTGCTTTCCTTGATAAACCTCACTTGTCATGCTTCGTGTAGAAGACCTAGGCTTATCAGGAAAGATCCTCTGGGTTGGGTTTAAAGCTCTTCATAACAAAGCTAGTCCTGTATACAATGGATGAAAACGTTTGCAGCTCCCTATTGCAAAATTATTGCTGTTCTCATGTCCAGTGCATTAAATGCAAGTCCATTGTTCTTAAACTCTCCCTTGCTCATTTACACTCTGTGTAAGGACAGAGGAACTATGTCCAATATACTATTAAACCATTAATTGGTTTAAGGAGGTCTGTAGTGACTTCATCTTCCTATGCCCAACTCTGCAAGAGATTTAACCAAAAAGTCCTAGAAGGGTTTTTTTTGGAAGAACGGCAATTTATGTGTGGTGGTCTTAACACTAAGCTTGCATATACTCACAAAACAACTTTGAAGTTCTTTTTGTATGTATGAAACAATAGAGCAAGTTTCCCTACCATATACTCATGTTGAAAGAATTATGTAAGTTTCCTGATTCTTTTTCCAAAACCAGCTCTGATTTACACCATCTAATTTTGGTCTTAAAAGACCAGTCATCTAGGTATCTAGTGTCTCCACTCCATACATGTGTGGTGGCTATGAAAAGACATCTAGTTTAGTTAACTGTATACTCAGTTGGGGATTTGCCCTTAGGCTATGGGATTCCCTAACGTTATAAATTATTTCCACACTTGCAGTACAAAAGAAAAGGTGGGCATATTATCTGCCTATAATTAGAGTTTTATAGATATTACATAAAAAGGAGGATACTTCAGTTACTGGCAATCGCGTGTGTCAATGTAGCACTGTGCTGAAACTCCTAGTTAAAAGCATGCCCCTCTCTCTTAGAGCACAAGGAGAAACAAGCACGTATTCCCATGTGTTATGGATCTTGAAATGCACATTTGGATTCAAAATATACCTCCTCAGGTGTGAATTTTCATCTTTTAGTGGCAGTAGAGATTATCAAAGCAGATTAAATTCCTAGGTAGCAAAGGCCTGTCATTTGAAAGCTGAAAGTTCTAAATTTTGTTCATAGAAGTGTTTATACTTTTGCCTGCATCCCCATGTTAGTGACTGCAGCTCATGGTAAAACTAAATAGGCAACATTTGAGGGCTTAAAGTAAAGAAAAAAATTACTTTGATCTGTTAATAACCCAGACCTTTTTCACTTTCCTAGTACTGACCCGTCCACGGCCACACAGTGATGATTACAGTACCATGAAAAAAATACCTCCTAGAAAACCAAAACGAAGTCCCAATACAAAACTTAGTGGGTCTTATGAAGAAATACCTGGCCAAAAGCCTGGGGATGTCAAAACAGCAAGCACAGTAGTTAAACCAGGTGGATATGATTCTGTGACAGTACGGAAAGCAACTTCTGCTGATGGGCCACAACATGGTGTGTTGAATCTCTATATGTCACAAGAAGAGGAGGAAAATGAGCCTGTCTATATTGAAATGGTAGGGAATGCAATCAAGAGCAGCTCTGCTGAAGCAGAAAGTCCAGAACAAGGAGAGTCTGTATATGAAGAAATGAAGTATTTTCTACCAGAAGAAGGAAGCAACGGTAATGGAATAATTCCAATAGTGACTGGATCTCCTCCTCTGTTGTTTGAAAGCAAAAAAAATCTTAATGTTGAAGATGGAACATTGGATGGAAGCAGTCAAGCAGCTTTGGTCTATAAAGACTCGTGTGACATTCCAGCCCCTTTCCCTAACTTGCTCCCCCATAGACCACCACTTCTTGTATTCCCTCCAACCCCTGTCACATGTTCACCTGCTTCTGATGAATCGCCTTTAACACCACTAGAGGTCAAAAAGCTTCCTGTCTTGGAAACCAACCTAAAATACCCTGTGCAGTCAGAAGGATCAAGTCCGTTATCACCTCAGTACTCCAAAGGCCAAAAAGGGGAGAATGAAAGACCAGCATCTCCAGGCTTGGTGGTGTTCAATGTTTCCAGCAGAGTGACTCCACCTTCCACACCACCTCCTCCTCTCCCACCACCCCCTCCTCCTGTACCACCTCCTGTTCCCTACCGGACTTCCACGCATTTTGCATCTCCTCCAGAGACTTGCTCTAGTTTTCTGATTAATACAGGGAAAGCAGGTACAAACTCAGATCTGTCAAAAGTACCTCAGAGACCCAATCCTGCTCAACTTGGATGCTCATCTTCTCCATTCTCCAAACTACCTTACTCCCCAAAGGTGGCAAGAGCAGATCACAGGAAATTGAATTCAAATTCACCATCTTCATTTCCGTACAGCCCTACAAACTCAAGGTCATTGACCAGTCCCCTTGATGAGTTAACTAGCTTGTTCAACTCAGGACGGAGCGTGCTACGAAAATCTGCAGCAGGACGTAAGATCAGGGAGCCAGAAGGTAAGACAGTTCTCTGTGCTTTTGTATTATGTATGTCTTTTGCATCAAAACTTTTTTACATTGCAAGCTGATAGAGTAGGCAAAAATACAAAATGAAAACCTTGTTTAGTTTGTGGGGTTTTTTAAAGAAAGGTCTGTTGTAGTCATAAGAAACACATACAAAAACATTTCATGTAAAAATTACAGGTCTTTAGGTTTTATCTGAGATATTAACTTTTCTTTTACCAAAATGTTTGTATGACACAAATTTAAATGTTTTTTTAACATTCCAGGTGTTTCAGTAAAATAAACACAGATGTTACATCGTGTGAAAATGAGTTTATGTTATCAGTCTGTAAAAATATTTTGAATTAAATATATGGCTAGATGTTTGGTAAATGTATTTTATTTGAAGTCTTTCTTTTAAGGTTTCTTTATTGCATTTCCATGAAATTCTGAGTTTGTTGATACAGTCTTAATTATTCTTCTAAATAAAGCTTAGTCAGAGAGTCATGCAGTGAAGAAAATTTAAGAAATTAAAAGTAATAGCAGTTCTCTGTCTCAGTTACAACACTAACTTCAGTCTTCACATTACTTTTCTGATTAAAAAAAAAAAAAAACTCTCATATTGAAAACATTCAGTATGTCTTATAAAGAAATTTCTTCCCATGGTAGCATCTCCCAAACACAAATTTTGTGAATTTAAAATTCAGAGTGAGAAAGCCTCTAGACTGTTTTCTCTGCTTCTACACTTCTATCTGTCCAAACAGCTTGTCTTAATCAAGAGCTGTGTGCAGCATATTCAAAATTAGGCAATATAGAATCATAGAACTAATTAGGTTTGATAAGAACTTTAAGATCATTGAGTCCCACTATAAAACTGACACTGCCACATCTACCACTAAACCATGTCCCTAAGTGCCACATCTATGCATCTTTTAAATATTTCAGAGATGGTCACTGCATGACTTCCCTGGGCAGTCTGTTCCAATAATTGGCAACCCTTTCTGTGAGGACATTTTCCCTAATATCCAATTTAAACCTCCTATGGCACAACTTGAGGCCACTTCCTCTTGTCCTATCCCATGTTACTTGGAAGAAGAAACTAGCCTCCACCTCACTACTGCCTCCTTTCAAATAGCTATACAGAGTGGTGAGTCTTTCTTTTTCCAGGCTGAGCAACCCTAGCTTCCTCAGCAGCCACTCCTCCTAAGACTTGTGTTCCAGATCCTTCACCAGCTCCATTGTCCTTCTCTGGAACATACTGCAGCACATCAATGTATTTCTTGTAGTGAGAGGCCCAAAACTAAAGACTGACCTGATCCTGGAGGCTTGTGTTTCTGATACAAGCCAGGATGCCACTGTCCTCTTTGGCCACTTGAGCACACTGCTGGATCACGTTCAACAAGCATCCTCAGGTCCTTTTCCATTGGGCGGCTTTCCAGCCACTCTGACCTCAGCCTGCAGCACTTCCTGGGGTTGTTGTGACCCAAGGGCAGGACCCAGCACTTGTCCTTTTTGAACTTTGTACTGTTGGCCTCAACCCACTGATCCAGCCTATCCATATCCCTCTGCAGAACCTTCCTGCCCTACAACACTCCCACCCAACTTGTCATCGTCTTCCTGAGGACACCCTTTTGGCACATGGGGGTGGCTTGCTCCTGTACCTTTAAGATTTCTTTCTTAAAACATGTCCAACCTTCCTGGAGTCCTTCAGGAATGCCTCACAAGGAGCTCCATCAACTAGTCTTCTGAAGAGGCCAAAGTATGCCCTCCAAAACTCTGGACTTTTTATAGGTTTCATGAAAGTTAATGACAAGGTGGAGCTATCAGAGAAACCATGGTGGAAAGAACCCTTGTGAGTACTACAGACCTTGAAAAATCTTTAGCTGGACCTTGCTTGTTCCTGTATGCTGAATTCAATACTGTATGTTGAATGAGCTATGAACTGAGACTTCATCAATTCTCAGCCTCATGCAAATGTTTTGTTCATTATTCTAAGTATGCAAATTGATGAAATTAGTAAAGGTGAGGAAGTATAGCAAACCTACTACACACAATTAAAAAAACTGACCTTTTCCTTAAAAAAAAAAAAAAAAAGTTGCTTTGGGATAGAAGATTTTTGAAAATGCAGTTATCAACTAAATGTGACTAAGATGGAGTTCAGCTTGGGTCTCATGTGGGTTGAAGTTAGTGCATTAACAGAGGCTACCATAAAAAACCTCTAAATTTACCTTTCACAGGGAAAATGTACTTCTGAATATTTCATCAAGGCAGTACTAAGTATGAAAGATCAAAGTTCAAGAAAGATACACGATAAAAAACCTGAATCAATATTTTATGAGCTAGGAAGCTACTGTATACTAAGTGCAGTTACATATGAATAGGTCAATCATGAGCAGATGGATTGAAAATAACTAAATACGGGGGGGGAGAGGTGTTTTTACAATTTGCCATTTTTTATGTCTTTATTTTTTATGTCTTTATTTTCTAGGGTAAAAGCTGGAAAAATATTATTTAACCTTTTATGTAAACTAATAAGATGACAGTCATCCGAGTCAACCAATTTTGCATGTTATATAAAATTAGAAGTTGTCACATGTTACTTTCTGGTTTTTTATCATCTATTGCCCAGTGCGTATTAAGTTCCTGAAGGACTCTTCCCTTTCTTTCTGTCATTTATAGTATTTTATTTATAGGAGATGATATGGTAAAAAATATATATATATAAATTCAATAAAGTTGAAGACGTTGCCTAGAGCAGCACTCTATAATGTGCAGTTTCATTTTTTTCCATAAGTTATAACCTACCAGCAATCTTAACTAAAACCAGAAAGTAAAACTGTGGACCGTTTTAAAGTCGTGGAGAGTTACCTGTGGGAATCAGGAAGTTTCGGTGTAGATCATCAGCCCTGGAGATAAAAGCCTCCTTGCCAATATATGTGCAAAATAGAGAGATCCCCCCACATGCCTCCCTCTTGCCTGGAGGAGTAATTTCAAGGCCTGAGAACACTGATGTCCTTTTGGCTCCTGGCCCCTTTGTGAGAAAAGCTCATCCAGAATTACAGTAGAACACATTTGTGGTTTTCTGATGGGCTGAAGAGTTATTGTGAACTGAACTGAAAGCACTCTTCTTTCACAACGGCAACAACAAAAAAATCAAATGGCTACAACTTTCTTTACCTAGTCGGTTAGCCTGGCCACTTTTTTTTCACAAGAGTATAGTCTACTGGTTCAAGCACTGATCAGGATCGTATAGTGTGCAATTTCATGCAAAATACCTCATATGTAATAAGAATTTTTCTGCTCTGCAGAGCTTATAGTTCAAGTAAGCTAAACTGTAACAGGTGAGAACTGAGATAAAGTGATTTCTCCAAGGTTGAAAAGAGTTGTCATTGAAACTGCAACCATATTGTTAGACAGGGGTTTGTTTTTACTCCTTACAAAATGAGACTTGAATCCAGGTAAGTGATAAGACACATACACAAATTTCTTCTATTCTCCCTGATTTCTAAAATTAGAAACTTAAGTTAGCAAGACAGATTGAAATTGGATGGTCATGTGCAGAACTCCTGCTTAAAAATTTTTCGACTGGACCCGAGATTTGAAAGTAGACCTCATGAAACCAAATTCAATCCTTTAATTACAAAACCACACTCCTTAGCAGGATGTACAAATGTTTTTTAAACTATCAAACATATAAGACAATCCTTATAAAAGGAAAAGACAATTACATGTTTAAGCATTTCTTATTAAATGTTTGTGTTTCTCAGCGTGGATGAATGATACTCGGATTTTGCTAGGTCATAATGTTATTTTTCTTGATTGGTACAGTTGATAATAAATTTTTCCATACAAAGGGGAATTATTTCAGCTTCAGAGCAAAAGATAGAATAAATCCTAACCAGTCATCCATGCTCAGATTGGCAGTGAGTATGCATCTGGATTCTAAAGGGAATGGAAAAAAGGAACTATGATTTTACCTTAACCTGGTTGAATTTGTCAGGCTATTGAGATAAAGACACAACGCTTTCTCTCCTTCCTGCTTGTTGAGAAAAGATTGCCATAGATACTTGTGTGACTGAGCAAAAGAAAATGTGCAAGCTTTCAACCCCACATCTGTGTGCGTAAGAAGTAAAATTAGGAAGACTTTCCCTTTATGTAGGTCACCAAGGTCAGTGAATTAGTATTTCGGTACAAGTAGATCTGTATATTCAAGTCTATACAGTCTTCAGTGACCTATTCGTTTTTAAACCGTTTGGGTTTGGAAAGTTACGGTTTAGTAACTTTTATGGTAAGAACAGCAAAGGCATGCAAGCTTTAAATTGTTAATAAAATGCCAATACCATTCAAATGTTTGCCAGGTATCATTGGCATTCATTAGCTGTATGAATACCTTCTTTTTTTGCTTCCACATTATTGAGTTAAAGCATTGGAAGTCACAGGAAGATAGTTACAACTGGCAAATGATTTAGATGTACCTAGTTGGGACTAAAGCTTGCCAAATACTCTTTATTGAGATTGGCTCAAACTTTGAAAATAACAGCATTTAATGCATAAGTATGGGAAGTACTGTCCTGTCAAAGGCAGGTATTCCTTTGATAAATAATTTCCTTTTGTCAACAAATTAGAGCAAGGTATTGTATATAGCTAACATCTCAACAGCAGATTGCAAATTAAATCCCTGCTTGTTTTCTGAGATGATATCGCAGTCCCTTACCCTCGAAGCCACTCAGCTTTTCATCTTAAGCAACTTAATAAAGATAATAATGATATATGCATCTCATTCCTATTGTATAATGAAATAGTTTTACTTTCTTTGTGGAAAAGCTAACAACTTACAAACCATGAGGAATAGAGAACGCTGTGTTTTCACCTTTTGTCTTTTACCTGTGAATGTTGGAGGAATGATTGCATAAGGCAACTTCTATTACATCTTTCAAGGAAAATTCTCAAAATCATTAAAACTTTAGTCAGCTAAGCTTCACAACACTTCTCAGAAAGAGATTAATATCTGTTTA